CGGCAGAGGGCGGGAAGTGTCCCTACCGTCAAGTCCCGATTTCCGGGGGTTTGATACGGAATGGCAGGCCGTGACTTTGGGAAGGGACCAAACCTTTATGTTGGTAGAATGTCGGTGGACGGGAATGAGATTCAACCGAGGACCTGGGGATGACCTATTTTCCAGTTTGGAAGTTATCGGGAACATGGATTTGCCCGAGATCGGCTGACACTCGTTGGGGGTGGGGATAGCACAAGGTCACGAGTTGGCACCAGTCTTTCGGAGGGCCGCCAGGACGCTGACTCGAATAGGTCAATCGGTCAGGGGTAGAGGAAACGTGGATTTGCTCACCAGGGTGGAAATGGGGGGCTAGAGGGAGTTCAGGTGCCGGGTCCCCAGATTCATGGTAGACTTCGTCTTCGGCAGCCCCGCAAGGGCACAGGATTTGGCAGACTCATCAATAATCTGGGTGGACCACTTCCCCTATCCGACCATCGGGACGTTCTATGACGTTGCTGTGGAGCATGGGTTGTTTTGGGGAAACCGAGCCCATGAACTGTTGGAAGTAATTAATATCCTGGTATTTGGGTTACCACGGCTAGCCTGGGTGGAGTACGAACACATAATCCAGAGGGAAATCGAGATAGAGGAGAGTTATCAAACGGGGGTAGCTCAACTATTCGAGGAGCCTACCGAACTGGAAGGACCACAAGGACGAGAGCGGGACTTGCATCCAGGGGTGGGCTAGTGGGGCAAATCAAGTATAGTCCGCTATGTACAGGGGTTCACCGATAGAAGTGAGGAAGGACCTTCGGGCCTGGACGGTTAAAACCCACTAGAGGATAAAAAGGAGGAGAGTAGACTCCTAATGGTTGCAGTGACTTTGGAGGTCGGAAGGGGGGATGCTGCTCGGGAAACCTTCCTTAGCAGGATGCCTAACCAGGACTCATACGCGCCGACCCGACGGAACAGGGGCACTCTAAGCGGGCCTGTGATGAAGGGGACTAAGTCGTGTCTCTTTGCTCGGTAGGACGGCAGGGCCGGTCGGCTCCTTCTTAGGAAGCAATCGGAAAACGGAAATGGGCAAAAAAACGACTACCCGAATAAAGATAAGCCAACGAAGTCGAAACCTATGGAACCTAAATGCCTCGCGCTGCGTGTGTCCTGGGGAATCCCTTGGTTTATGCAGAACCAGGCAAAATGGCAACGGAGGATGAGACGGATAACCGAAAGAGCGAGGGAGGACCAGGCTTAGGAGGCAGTGCCGTGCAGAGCCAACAGGGGAAGAAAGACAGAGAATCGATAAATCCGGATGGTACCAAAGGGAACTTGAAGGAAATCTCCTCAAGAGAAAGCTCGGGGAAAGCCGGGGGAAGCTGACAAGGGACTCAGGAAACCAAGGAGGGCAGAAATAAGGATAGGACAAGCCCCCGGAATTCAGAGGGAGCTATGTCTAAGAAAGTAAGGGTCACGGATGCCAGACGCAAACTAGCGCAGATAGAAAAAAAGACCACGAAGTACAAGGCAAGATTGATCGAGGAAATAATGACTGGGAACGAAGAAGGCCCTTTACAGGAAAAACCGTGGGATGAACGGAGGAGCGGCCGAGGCGGAATTGGGCAAGGGGATAAGGGTAGTGATCGTGGAGAAACACCGAGCAAAAAAAGGAAAGAGAGAGAGAACTCTCCGGGGATGGAAGCGGAGAAAACTACGAACCCACCAGCTATAGATAGTAGGGCTAGCCGCCTGCCGACCACGCCAACGGTAACGCGAGGATGTCAAGGACTCTGGTACCTTAGGGAAAAAGTGTTGGGATGGTTCGACCCAGAAGGAACAGCAAAGGCTAGGGAGGGATAAAAGACCGGCAAGGAAGGACCGGATACCAATATGGCGGGCGAGGCCAGTAGCTCTAAAGGCGGCCTTAGGAAGATAGTATCATCCCTCGCGCGAGCACTGAACAAAAATCAAGGCTATCTAGCGGACGCTAAGAAAAAGTTGACGTTTGACGAGGCGAACATCACGGAATTCCTGATAGATTACGAGAATCTGGCCGTGCTGTTGAAATGGACCGAAGAAGAAAAGATGGACCACTTGGGGCAGCATTTGTCTTTGAGCTTGGGGCAGGACATAATAACCATCGTAGTCGCAAGTCGATCCTGAAAAGAAACCCGGGATGTGATGTTGAGGAAATACCTGGCAGCGGAGAAGATGGCTACGGAGGCCGACTTAGCAGCAGTTCAAAGGAAGAACTTCGCAACGTACAATGACTTCCTACGGGAGTTTACTCTGATAGCACTAAGGATCCCCGAGGTTACGGACCGAATAATGAGCGTATACTTCCTCAGGCAGTTCTCCGAGTTCGACAAAGACAAGATTTTGTCGGCTTACCAGCAGACGAGCAAGTTCGTAAACACCAAGGATGTTGATTTTAGCACAGTAATGAATCTGGCCGAAAAGACAGTAGTGACCGAGACGTTGGCCTTGCTTAAGGAAGGGGAGGTCATAGATCTGACCGGTAGGACAGGCGACAAGGTAAAGAAGGGGATTGAAAGTCTACATGAACGGGTGCACGGAGTCGACAACAAGATTGAAAGGGTGGAGAACGCGCTACTGGTTATGCAGGTGCAAGTATCCCGACCCGCCCTCCCTCCACAGAAAGCCGTAGTTCCACCAGGTGTAGCCAATCGGGGATTTGGATAGAGAGATCCTGCTAACGAGCAACGCAAGTACTGCACCGCGATGGGACATTATGTGCGCGCATGTCCAAAACTCAACCATGATTTATTAAAAAGGAAATGTACCAGGTCATTAAAGGGAGAGATATTCGGACCACAGGGAGAGCGGGTGAATTGGAACTCGCCTGGGGGGATGCGGCGAGCCGTTATCATGCTCAATGGGCTAGAGATAGCGGCCGTAGAAGTTGAGCCGGTGGTCGATATTATCTGGAATCAACTTCGGGGTCGCGGACCGCATGTCAACTTGATTTTGGAAAACGACGAACATGATAGGGTGAATGCGACTGCTCGGCTAGGGACGGTTGGGAGAGGGATTATTCGTGACACCATGATGGAGGAGGTTGCTGGAAGCTCCATATCCCAGGCAGAGCCTGAGGGCGGGGAACCAGAGAAAGTCTATGGGAAACCAAGGGAAGAGGAGCCTACGAACAAAGTTACCGCCACTAAAAAGAAGTTTAGGTACCAAATCCCGATCTTAACCATGTCTGAGATCAATGACGCCCTTTGCAAACTACTAGGAACCATGGTGTCGGTGTCGTTTCAGACTATGCTGCAGATCAGCCCTAGGTTGCCCAAAGGGCTTAGACAACTATTGACTTGGCGGCGAGTAGAGATAGACGAAAACCCCGACTCAACAGAAGAGGAAAGGGAGGAGGAAGCCCCGCAAGAAGTCGCTAACCTTCAAAGGAATCGCGGGGATTTGCAGGATCTCGAGAAAGCCTTTGCGGACATCCGCCTGAGCCTGTCAGACCGAGAAGGTGGCGAGGTCATGTAGGCACCTCCCGGGACAAACCTCCGCTTCCATGCGCTGCCCGTATGAAAGTTGAAAGTCCAGATCATGACCCATCGTACCGACGCACTAGTAGACGGGGGCGCGAAAATCACTCTCATAAGGAGGGATTTCGCAGCGATCACGGGCTGTGCGGTAAATCAGGAAGTAACCAGGAGCATCTGGGGAGCCGGTGGAGAAATTCCGTTCGCTGGGTATGTCACGAAATGCGCAGTCAAGGAAAGGTCAGGGAGTCGATCTGGTCGCTCCAACGGATGACAGTAATGGAGGAAATGGACCATGATATAATCCTCGGGAGACCATGGTGCGCAAACGTGGAAATGATAGGCATGCACTCGCACGATGGCACGAACTTGGTAGACATAAAGGACCCAGTGACCGGTCGGGGAGAGTTCCTCCGACTTCTAGGGACAAGAGGAGACCCTCCGAAGGGAAAGTTAGTCACGTGGTCGCCATCGTTCGAGGATAGCGCACGAAAGGGGGCTTTTGCGCGGATGGAGGGCATGAGAGAAAGAGCATAAATCATGATCGAGGAGGCATTCAATAAGAAGAAATGGATCAACATGGGCCTGCCGCAGAAGAAGAGAAGGCGGGAGGACGAAGTCTTAGGTGTTATGGTGGCAGAAAAAAAATCAGAGGTCGAACTCGAGGCCAGCCTGCCCAAGCTGAAAGAAGTGCGTGTGGACGTGCCCGAAGTTGCACTCGAGATCCCCGATTTGTTACATCTCATCAAGGCCCTCAGATACCACAAGGTAGGAGTGGACTCGGCGGCCTTGGCCAAATTCGAAGGAGAGGTGCAAAAGGGATATTGTCTGAATGGAAAATTCATCAGTACTCAACCACGAACCGTAGAAGTGGCAAGGACAATCCCGACCGTTCATTTTTTAGAAGAAAGATCCCGGAAGGAAGTGTTCGAAAATACAAGCCGGTCGGAAAGAAAACAAAACCAGTCTCGATCCTGCTAGAGACGTCGGAGGAAGAGGCTATGGAGAAGGAGGAAGAAGTCCTTCGAGTGATCCAAGAGAGGAGAGCGACGAAAGGGCATCGGATACCGGATGAGGTAGCTGATACAATGAAGATAAAAATAGACGGATTATTAACGGGAGAAGAAACCCGCCTCGTCAAAAGGACCTGCCAGTAGTTTCACCTGACATTTGCCTTTAGTGACCACCAGAAGGGGCGGTTGGACGCAATGCTAATTCCTCCGGTCAGAATCCACACGGTCGAGCATGAGTGCTGAAATGACAAGGGTCCGGCTTATGAATTTCGGATAGCAGGAGAAGTGACAGACCTTCTCCGAGCAAAGATGGACTCCTTCGTCGCAGAACCTACGGTGTCGCCTTACGCAAACCGATGGTTCGTCTGTCGGAAACCTAACAAGACGCTGAGGTGGATTAAGGATCTGCAGAAGTTGAATGCGATAACCATCCGGGATGCTGGCTCACTGCCTCAGGCCGATTTATTAGCAAAGTCGCACGCCGGCCGGAGCATTTACTCCCTGATTGATCTGTACTCAGGGTACGATCATCTCCCATTGGATGTTCGGGACAGGCCATACACCGCAATGCACACCCCCGTAGGACAGTTGCAGATGCAGGTGACCCCTATGGGCTTCACAAACGCGGTAGCCGAAGCGCAACGAAGAATGCTCGCCGTAGCCGGGGACATGTTGCCAGAGAAGTGTGAGCCCTACATCGATGACAACCCGATCAAAAGCGCGCAAGAGAAGGACGAGACGGAAGTCCAGCCAGGAATCCGAAGGTTTGTATGAGACCATCTACAGGACATCAAGGACTTACTCCGCAGGTTTCTAGTATACAACATCACGGCTAGCGGACCAAAGAGTATTATAGCAGTATCAGAAGTAACCATAATAGGATTTCGTTGTGGCGCATACGGCAGGAAGCCAAATCCGGCAAAGACGGACAAGATATCACAGTGGCCGACACCCCTGCGCATGACATCAGAGGTAAGAGCATTCCTAGGCGTGGTCGGCTTTTGGAGGATCTTCATTAAAAATTTTGCCAAGATTGCTGAGCCCATCCGGGCCATGATTAGAGAAGAAGGGACGGAGGAGTGAGAAGGAGTCGTCCAAACACTCAAGGACATACTTACATCTGAGCAAGTCACCTTATCCGCACCCTGTTTTAATGACGAAGTGGGACAACCCTTAATCCTAGAGACGGATGGAGGACCCTTGGTTGTAGGAGGCGTGTTAATTCAAAGGGATGAGGAGGGGAAAGAGAGGTCAATTAGGTTCGAAAGTAGGACCCTGAACTCCGCAGAACGGCGGTACTCATAGTTCAAGAAGGAGGTCCTAGTCATCTTACATCGCCTCAAGATCTTCCAAGCCTATCTATTTGGGAGGCGGTTCATCCTTAGGATCGATCCAACGAATGTTGCAGGGACCTTAAAGAATTACAGACCTATATATCCGACGGTGGGGAGATGGGTAGGATTTATCTTGCAGTTCGATTACAAAATCGAACGGATTGCGGGAATCAGAAACAAGGCCGATGGGCTGAGCCGGGTCTGCATCACTCCCGAAGGGGTGGAGGAAGCGAAGCCCATAGACGCATTCCTCGAATACGAAGGAGGAACTCTCGCGGTGGATAACGAAATGATGGGCGAAGAATGCGCGTCGGGAGAGTTGTTGATCCGCACTTTGGAGAAGGGGGCACTTGCCGTAGCTGCAGAACTTAGAGAAGGACCAGTCACCACTCGAGGTCGCAAAGAGGAGAAAGATTCGTGGGGAGCAATAGTAGGACCGAAGGAGGAACTAATAGCAATGGCGATTGAGGGAGGTCGGGACGCCGTGATGAGCTTAGTGGAATTTTGGGAGAGGAAAGAGTTGCGATGGATGGTAAAGTAGATGTAGGAAAAAAAGGATCAGGACCAGGAAGGGGAGAAGTTTGTCTATGCCCAGATATATGAAGGGATCTTTCGTGAGATCGGGTTGTTGCTGGTAGGAAACAAACAACCTATGGAAGTCAGCATTAAAGCAAGGGTGAAGGCCGAAAGGTACGTCCTAAGGGGCGGTCATCTGTTCCAAAGAGAGGAAGATGCTATGCCTAGAAGAGTTGTGTGCGGAAGATCTAGTCAGTTAGACGTTATTCAGGCAATGCACGACGGATTAGCAGGAGGACATCGATCGTCCAAAGGAACTCTTGCAAAGATAACGCCACTCTATTATTGGTCAGGTATGGCAAGCATGATCGCCACATACTGCCAGACCTGCCTTATCTGTAAGAAGCGAAGCTCGACACGTGTCTTTGAGCTGCTTAGACCAACGCGGGTGCTAGGGCCGGGACATCTGGTCCACCTTGATCTTGCGATCATGCCTATATTAACAAATGGGTACAGGTATATTCTGGATGCGCGAGACAGCTTGAGTGGGTTCGTGGAGGTGGTCGCCCTCAAGAAAAAGACAGGGAGAAGTGTAGCCGCTGTAGCGGACTGGATAGAAGACTTCTACTTGAGGCATCATTTCATCAGGAGGTTTATAGCGGACAATGAGACGGAATTTGTGAACTAAAAAGTATTGGAAATGCTTAAGCGACTCTGTGTACCGATCAAAATCATCGAGCCGTATCACCCAGAGGCCAATGCACCTGTGGAAAGAGGGCACCGAACCTTAAAGAACACAATTGCGAAGCTCGCAGCGGACCAGACGCGACGGTCCACGCATCTCCGCGCAACGCAGTCTAGCGGATTCATTAGACATCTTAGTGTTTCTGGACTGCGGCGGAACAGTCTCGGACAGGACTCGACGGTGTGGACGGAGGTGACCCAACACAGCAGTGTCTCCCAAACCTTCGACGGCCTTGGGTCGTCCTCACGAGAAGTCCGCCAGGTTATCGGATGTTAGGGAACTTTGCCTAGACAGACCCCTCGGAAGGGCGCCATTGGCCATGGACATCACTGCGGGGTCATTGACAATAGCACCTCATGTCGACGACGCCCACTCCAGTCGTGGGCGTGTTGCAACCGCTGGACTCCCTACAATACCATTCTACGACCGCAGGAGCACCAACGCTTTGTGGGAGCAGAGAGTTACGGGCGGACGTGGACCAGCAGACGAATGCGATTTATTGGGGTAATTGGCGATGCTCCTCATGACGCCTTCAGAGCATACAAAGACCGTCACGGTAGACCTCTGCGGTCTAAAACATCGGATGTTGCCTTCACGAGTATGGTGAAGGCCAGTATGTCCTGGGCGAGGAAGAAGGCCGGAGCAGCTACATTGGCACCTCACGTGTATCATCGTTCGGGGTCTTCCACACGTGAAGGTCCAGAGGACAAAGAGATTACGGCAGATGGCGGCGCTTTAGAAGACAGAGGTGTTGTGCGTACAGGAGCCTCAGGTGACACGTTGCGGAGATCGGATCATGTGTATCAGGTGCATCAGGCTAGTCGAGTTGCATCGGTTGACGGAGGTAGTGACGGGCAAGGAGCAGAGCCCGGAGGGAAGCGACACGGTAGTGCGCTGATCGTCCATGATGACGGCTCCGACGTCCAAGCAGGTGAGACCACAAGCGTCGATAATGCGGGTGACTCAGATTTCGTCCCGGCCTTTCGGACGGCAGATGAAGGAGATGGAGGTGGATGACGGGTTAGACAGAGGACGGGACTCGGACCGCACGAACACAGTACACCGACGGCTCCTATACACTGTGTGCACGACGTCAGATTCAACGGGGGTTTCCCGTTGAACGGTTCAACTACAGTTGAACCCCCGTTACAACTCCACGCTATATCGCGTTAGAACGTGGAACAACGCGGCCCGCAGAATTTTTTTCCGCCGGCAAAAACGTATAAAAAAATAATAGGGGGGTGTAGATTTTTGAGCGCTCTACATTCCCATATTTTTTATTTTTTATTTTTGAGCATTTCAATGATTTTTAAAAAATAAAAAACCGAAAGAATGGTAAAGAAAAAGGGAAAAAAAAGATATACAGCAAGGGGGGGGGGGGGGGGGGGGGCGCAGGGGGCCCAGATCGGGTCGCGGGGAGTTGGGGACCGTTTTCTGCGACACCACATAAGACGTCGCATTTGGCGTACCAAATGACAAGAGATCGGCCATAAAAAGGTCGATTCTCGCTTGTTTGTTGCGATTCATTGCGTGCTGTTAGACTGCGTTAGTTAGTCATTGTGACAAGCGGAGGAGGGTGTTTGAAGATCGCGGGGGCGTCGTGGAAGGCTCGACAACGGCGGCTCGATGGGGTTCAACGCGGGTTCAAGTACGCTCCGACAGGATCAACGGGGGATCAACGGAGGAACAACGTGGGTGCAACGGGGGATAGACGGGGGTTGAACGTGGGTTCAACGGCGGGTTGGGGRCGACGAGGGAGGACGACACGGCGAGTCACCGTGCAAGGCACGGGGGATCAATGGGGGAACAACGTGGGTACAATGGTGGATCGACGGGGGTTCGACGGGGGTTGAACGTGGGTTCAACGGCGGGTTAGGGCCAAAGAGGGAGGACGACGCGGTGAGTCACCGTGCAAGGCAGCGAGAGACAGATGGCTAGCGAGAGAGAGAGAGAGAGAGAGAGAGAGAGAGAGAGAGAGAGAGAGAGATAGAGAGAGAGAGAGCGGCGCAAGCGTCGACACGGGAGCATCGACGACAGAGGTGAGGACTTCTTCCTTCTTCTCCTTCTTCTTCTTCTTCTTCTTCGTCTTCTTCTTCTTCTTTCTCCTCTTCCTGTCTCTCTCTCTCTCTCTATGTATATATATATATATATATATCCCTCTCCCTCTCTCTTTTTCTGTGGTCAACGGCGTCGATTCGTCGTCGTACGCCGTTCGTCGGCTTGTATCCATTTCCAACGGCGCTCAACGCCGTTGATCGACGTTGAACGACGTTCTACTCTCATTGATCGCCGTTTTTTTTTTTGGGGGGGGGAGGCAAATGTTCTTTTTTTTCAATCAATCAATCAATCAATCTATCAATCAAACAAACAATCAATCACTCAATCTTGATAGATTGATTGATTGATTGAATGATTGATTAATTGATTGAGCGGGGGTGGGGGGGAGGCGCCCATCAAACCTCCCCCCACCCCTCTCTCTCCTCTCTCTCTCTCTCTCTCTCTCTCTCTCTCTCTCTCTCTCTCTCTCTCTCTCTCTCTCTCTCTCTCTCTCTCTCTCTCTCTCTC